GCGCAGGATGCGCAGCGCCGGCCGGCGGCTCCGCGCCTGAGCGCGCTCCCGACACGCCCGGGCAGGTACTTGGATGCTTTGCGGGATTTATTGCCCCCCCGCCGCGGTGCGTTTCGCTGTGCGCCCCCCGCGGGCGCCGTCGGGGCGGGCCGSGGCGGCTCCGCGCCCGCGGGTCCCGCTCCCGGCGCCGGCCGCCCGGGGGCTCCGCGCGGCTGGTTTTGTCCCGTAGGGTTTCGTGCAGAAAGGGCAGCTTGGGGATCCGTGCGGGAGCAGACATTTGTTCTGCTTCTCTCGTTGCCGCTGTGGGAACAACCTGTGTGACAGCAGCCCTGTGGCGCGTGTCGCTCGGGGAAGCCCTCGTCGCTGCTGCCCCTAACCGCCCTGCCCGCTGAGGCGAACCCCCCGAGCTGTTTTGGGGGGCTATTTATGTGAAGCTGCCTCTGCGCTCCTGGCCCTGGCGCCCCTGCCAGGCCGGCCGCGCCGGGGCCGCCCTCGGCCCGTCCGTGGGGAGCCCGGAGCCCAAAGCACGCCCGGCCCGGCGAGGCCTCCCGCCCGGCTCCTCGGCGGCTCCGGGAGCCCCTGTGGATCCCCCCGTCCGCAGCACCCCGTGGCCCGTGCCAAGGGCCGCGCGAGGGCCGCTGTCCTGGCTCCGAGCGGGAGCGCGGGACGCTCATCCCGGCGAGCGGATGGCAGCAGCGCCCGCTGCCTCTGGCGGATTTCTCAATCCCGAGGCGTTACTGGCGAATAATGGACTTTGCACCGCGGTTGGGGTTCCTCTTTGTTCCCGATGTGCTGCGAAGGCTGCTGCCTCTCTTGCTTTATTTAACCGTGTTGAGGCTCGTTACTCTCTCTGTACTTCCCCCCTTGCTTCTCCCCTTCCCCCTGTTCGTTGTGTGTCATCTGAAGGGAGGGTTTGGGATTGTTGGTTTTTGTCTAGTTATGTTTAATATTTATGGCCTTTTTGTTTGGGAGGTGACTTCTGTGGAATTCAGAGGAATCTTCTTTTAGGAATTATCAGCCTGGCGAAGTGAGATTCTTTCCTCTAGTTTGAGTTCAGGTGTTTTTTATCCCATCTCTGTGAAACAGCAACTTCTAAGCCTCGAGTCCCTCTGCCCTGCCTTGCGTTCCGCGCGCGCGCCGAGCGCGGTGGAGTCACCGTCGCTGCAGCTGCTCTCTGCCTCGGCGTCCAGCTGCTCCCTGCCTCTCACAGTGAGTCCTAGTGAGGATTTCCCTGTGACAGGCGCAGCATTTTTATATTAGGAAATTATTTGCTCTGATTTTCTGAAAACCAAAGCCTCTTTCAGATTTGGCAGGCTGTTTTTTTGTTTGTTTGTTCCATTTTCTCCAGTGTTTGTTGCTCGAGCTTAAGCCTTGGGTGCTAACAGGTTTGGGGTGCTGGTGATGGGGGCCAATTATTAACGTTTCTCTCGTCGTCCTCTGCTCTCCTGATTCATGGTCACTGTTCCCCCTCCATCTTGTGCTTTACGTGTGAGGTCGCTGATCCATAAAAGTCCGGGATTGTTTGTCCCAAGTTGTCAGCAGCTTGTAAAGAAGCGGTGCCGTTTGCAGCGCGCTGCCACTGCCCCCTTGTTCGATTTGGTGTTTCCCAGATCGGCAGCACTATTGATCCTGGCGTTCGGTTCCCGCGCGTCTCCCGAATGCGTGTCGGTAATGCCAACTTTCTTGAACACGTGCCCATAAGAGTACGCTGGCTTTGTTGTCATTTAGCATTCCAGTATTGACAAACTAGCCATTTAGGATGCTTCTTCAAGCCACTAAAAGGATATGATTCTTCTGCTGTCAGCTCCTTTTCTATCCTGTTAGCTGCTCACTGATTTATTTATTTTTTATAGCTTAGCGCCTTCCCAAGCATTCAAACCACTTTGCTGCATAAGCTGTTTCTTTTTCTCTGGAGGTGGAAGCCACCYGAAATGATAAGAGTTCCTCACCCTGTACCACCCACCCAGGTGCCATCTCATAACTCTGTGACTTGCACCACTTTAAATGATAATTCCTGTCCCATTCCCTTGTCTTTTAGTCGCGGAGCTGGAAAAACCTGGGGAAAGTTCCCCTGGTCTTCTCCATTGCATCCTTTGGAGTTTGGTGTTCTTGAAAACAGTGTCTCTACTACCAGTGGTTCCTTTCTAACAAGCTACAGAAATGAGGCCAAACTAGTGAAAAAACTGCTGTCTTTCCTTCTGGCAAGGTATTATTCTGCTATCTTATCCTTAGGATCTTTGGGAACATAGTAACTATAAATCTAGAGGGAGTTCAGTGCAAGAGGGACCAGAATGTAGAGTAGAACATTTACTATATTGTTAAAAATAAAAGCATGGTAGGATCATGCTCAAAGCACGGGAACTTGCTCACTAGGAGAAGAGTGGATGTGGCTAGAAGAGCATTTAGGAAAACTAGGTAGCTAAAGAACTTTCAGTGTGTTGCTACTTTGCTTTTACCCTCTTTRAATGATATCAAAGATAGCAAAGATTGCCAACATGCCCTTAAAGCTTCATTTTCAGGATTTATTAGTCACTTTTTACCTCATAGGTTATTCCTACCTTTTTTTTTTTTTTGGCAGGAGAGAGGTGGTTTTGAAGCGTTCTTAAGGTTGAAAACAGGCCTAGGGGAGCTCGGTACCTTCAAGCAGGATTTGTGGTGCCTTGGAGCCCTTCAGAGAAGTGTGTCTGGTTTCTGAGGTTTGTGCTGTGCAACTTGGCCTCCTCCGGCAGCGTTTTCCGGGACACTGCTCCGCTCCCTGTCCCACTGGGATCGGCAGGAGTTGCAGGGATGAATTCCAGGGATGGCCAGGCAGGCCCAAGCTCCCAGTTCCCTCGTGGATATGTACAAATACCTGAGGGGGGAATGCAAGGAGGAAGGGGCCAAGCTCTTCTCAGTGGTGGCCAGTGACAGGACAAGGGGCAATGGGTACAAGTGGAAATACAAGAAGGTCCATCCCCATGTGAGGGAGGAAGAACTTCTTTCCTGTGAGGGTGACAGAGCCCTGGCACAGGCTGCCCAGGGAGGCTGTGGAGGCTCCTTCTCTGGGGATCTTCCAAACCCGCCTGGATGCCGCCCTGTGCCCCGTGCTCTGGGTGTCCCTGCTGGAGCAGGGACTAGATGATCCCTAGAGGTCCCTTCCAACCTCAACCACTCTGTGGTTCTGTGGACACGGGGAAGGCCCTGCATGTCCATCGTGCTGCATCTTCAAAGCTCCTTGTGAACCACACGCCATGAGACAGGAAACGGCTGCCGACTTAAAGCAGCCCCTAGGAATTAGGCACGTGGTTTACATGTATTTTGAGGTTTGAGTCCTTGTTTGCAGGTTGAGAGAGCGATTCTTTTAATGCCGTCTCATCTTGGGAAGATGCTACGAACTTCACAGATACAAACGTACGTTTGTGTAGGCGCAGGCAGCGTCGGTAGCTGCATGCAGGCCTGGGTGCCACAAGCACCACAGTCACGATGGTAGCGGGGTCTTCTTCCCAAATAGATACCCCTAAAATTGGGGTGTCTTGGCCTCATCACAGTGCTGATGTTGACTGTGTTCGTCCCTGCTGTGTAATGGAAAGATAGTCCTCATATCTCAAGATACTATTGAATTTAAAACCCTGCTGCTGGGTCCCTCTGTGGGGATAAGGATCTGTGTTGCTAATCAAAACAAAATGAGGTCTAGAAATGTTATATATCATGAAAAGAATGAAGGAGAAACAACTGGGATGGGGTGAGGAAGAAACAATGGCTCATCCATAGGGCCTACTATGAAAATGTGTATTTAAACCTTATAGCTGGGTACCTCTCCAAAATACCAAATATTTCCAATTAACCAAATGCCTGGTTAATGCTGGGAGTATTTTCGAAGCAGGGAGGTGCTGCCTTTCCGTGCCCAGCTCAGGTGCCCTCAGCAGCCTCAGCTTTGGCCRTGGATGCTCTGCAGATCAAGGTTATATCAGAAGTTGTTCAGGGACTTGGCAGCRCTTGTGGAGGGAGCTGGATGAAGCAAGCAGGAAAATTTAGGAGTTTCTGCCTCTCCATGGGATTCTCAGCGTGTTGAAACACTTCTGTAGCTTGGATGGGAGTTCTGGAGCATTGAGCACTGCGCTTTATCCAGCCAGCTTTACAGGGCTCACTATTTATGCCTCTGTCCTGCAGACCTCTTGGTGAGGAGCGGGGTTGCAGCAGAGCTTCTCCATGCTTGGAGCTTCACACGAGGCCATGGGCAGCTGGTGCAGTCGGGGTCTGTCCAAGATACCTGTTGGATTGTAATTAAATGAACATATCCATTTAATTGCAATTTAAATTCGCATACCTTTACCCATGTATCTTGGGYGTGTTCTTCCAGCTTTGCTTCCTAGTACGCTTTGCTTAAATTATTCCTGTTGGTGAAATAATTTAAAAAATTCTTTACTCGCCAACAGAATCCTCCAGCAAATCTGAGACAGAAAGAGACTCTACTTTCTGTGCAGAGACTGACGCTTTGGGAGTTTTATCTTGCAGGGCACAAACATTCATTTTACATCGGAGTCTTGACAAGTGGCTTTTTTCCTTTAATTCTCTGGTTCTTGGATTTCTCCAGGGGAAAGAAAAGAAAAAAAAAGGCCTGCTTAATATTAGTTGTTTGTTTCTTTTAGAAGGAGGAGAGACGTGAGGGGAAAAAAGGAGTAATACAAAGTAAAATAAACCTGCTTTACACATACTGAAGAAAGATACGTATGCAGATCCTTAGAGTTATATGTTATATACATACGATGAGTGAGAAGTTTTCTGTTATTGAATAACAAAAAACTGGCTTCTAAGCTTTCTGCAGGCAGGTACGTGTGACATGAGCACATCCGGGGGGATATTTGAGGAAACCTGGTGAATATCCCGTCCCTGGATCYGCTGTGATTTGTTTTGGGGTACCCTTCCCCCCCCTCCACAGCAAATATTAAAAAGGAAAACCCAGGCTCTGCTCCTTGCTTATCCCAGTGATTTCCACAGGAGAATCCAGCGCTTCTAATGGGGATCCTGGGAGGCCGTGTTCTTGCAAACTGCAAAAGCCTTCAGGAGAGGAAGTTCTAAGATTTAT